GCTTTAAACACAGTTTTGCAAGGATTCAAAACTGAGCAAAAGATGTTTCTTCAAGGCAGACCCAGGACAAATGAGCTACCAAGCACACGAAAACAGACAGCTCGGCACAAACCTTCAGGGAAGGCAGATCAAAAGCCAGGAAGGTGTTACCTCCCACCACTGGAATGGCTACTACCAAAAAAACAGAACAGAGTACTGGTAAGGACGTGGAGAAACCGGAAGCCTCCACGCTGCTGCTGGGAAAGTCCAACGGCAGAGCCACTGTGGAAAACAGCCTGGCAGCTCCTCGAAAGATGAAACACACAACCACCACGTCGTCCACAACTCCACTGCCAGGCTGCTTGGGAACGAACTGAAAGCAGGGTTTGGAGAGAGACTTTTACGCCCATGTTCACAGCAGCTCTACTCACAATTGCCTGGAGGTGGAAGCCACCCAAGTGTCCATCCACAGATGAGGATACACCCCACGCGGCTACTCCACACTAAGAAATAGTGGTCAGATTTTTTTTTTTTTTGTGAAACCAAGTCTCCTTCCGACACCCAGGCTGGAGTGCAGTGGTGTGATCTCGGCTCACTGCAACCTCTGCCTCCTGGGTTCAAGTGATTCTCCTGCCTTGGCCTCCTTAGAAGCTGGAATTACAGGCATGCTCTACCACGTCCAGCTAATTTTGTATTTTTAGTAGAGACAGGGTTTCGCCATGTTGAGCAGGCTGGTCTCCAACTCCTTGAGTGATCCACCCGCCTTGGCCTCCCAAAGTGCTGTGATTATAGGCATCAGCCACCGCACTTATTATCCAATCTTAAAAAGGAAGAAGGCCAGGCATGGTGCCTCACACCTCTAATCCCAGCACTTTGGGAGGCAGGGGCAGAAGGAATTTAAGCCCAGGAATTTAAGACCAGCTTGGATAACACAGTGGGACCCTGTCTCTACAAATAATAAAGTTAGCTGGGCAAAATGGCATGCCTGTAGTCCCAGTCACGTGGAAAGCTGAGGCAGGACGACAGCTAGAGCCCAGGAAGTCAAGGCTGCAGTGAGCCATGATCATGTCACTGTACTCCAGCCTGGGTGACAGTGAGATCCTGTCCTAAAAAAAAAAAAAAAATCCTGATGACAGATGAACCTTGAGGACATTATGCTAAGTAAAATAAACCAGTCACAAAAGGACAAATACTGTATGATTCCACTTGTACGTGGTACTTAGAACAGTCAGCATTCAGAGACACCACCACCGCAGGTGCTAGGAGGCTGGTGGGAGGGATGAGAAGTCGTTTCACAGGTGCAGAGTTTGAGTTCTGTAAGCTGAAAAAGTCATGGAGATGGATGGTGGTGATGGTTATGACACAGCAACATGAATGTATTAACACTGAACTGTACACTTAAAAAATGGTATTCCAGCCAGTGCGGTGGCTCATGCCTGTAATCCCAGCACTTTGGGAGGCTGAGGCAGGTGGATCACAAGGTCAGGAGATTGAGACCATCCTGGCTAACACGGTGAAACCCCATCTCTACCAAAACTACAAAAAAATTAGCTGGGCGTGGTGGCAGATGCCTGTAGTCCCAATTACTCAGGAGGCTGAGGCAGGAGAATCACTTGAATCCTGGAGGTGGAGGTTGCAGTGAGCCGAGATGACGCCACTGCACTCCAGCCTGGGTGACAGAGCGAGATTCTGTCTCAAAAAAAAAAAAAAAAGAAAAAAGAAAAAAGGTATTTCCCACAATTTAAAAAAACTGGGGGGAGCAGAGCCAAGGAGATCAGACCCAAAAAATGGACTGGAATGCTTGTTCACTGAGGGATAAATCAGAAACCCAAAGTAGGGGCCGAGTGCGGTGGCTCACACCTGCAATCCCAGCACTTTCGGAGGCTGAGGCGAGGGGATCACCTGAGGTCAGGGTTGAAGTTCAAGACCAGCCTGGCCAACATGATGAAACCCCATGTCTGCTAAAAATACAAAAATTGGTTGGGGGTGGTGGCAGATGCCTGTAATCGCAGCTATTTGGGAGGCTGAGACGAGAGAATCGTCTGAACCCTGGAGGTGGAGGTTCCAATGAGCCGAGATCCCACCATTGCACTCCAGCTCCAGCCTGGGTGACAGAGTGAGACTCCGTCTCAAAAAAAAAAAAAAAAAAAAAAGAAAGAAAGAAACACAAAGTGGGACACAGTTTAAAGAAGGTGCTACTTACTCCCCTGTGGACACAACTTTGTGTCCAATGAGCCAACCCAGGCCCATGAGAGGTAAAAACAGCCCATGAATAAGTACAGCTCCAGTTGTTGTGTATGTGCCGTGAAGCTGGGCAGGCGCAAACAAAGCCCCGATCTCTAAAATGTAAGCAAGTTGTGTTCCCAGTGCATTCGGTTGTCAATCGATCACAAATCTCAACGTGTCCACTAAGTGATTATATCACAACGTGTCACAGAGATAAAGCTAGGAGAGGCCGGGGTAGTGGCTCCTGCCTGTCATCCCCATACCTTGGGAGGCTGAGGTGGAAGGACTGCTTGAGCCTAGTATTTGAGACCAGCCTGAGCAATATACTGAGACTCCGTTTCTACAAGTAATTTAAAAAAGAAAGATAGGCTCTTGTTATGTTGCCCAGGCTGGTCTCGAACTCCTGGGCTCAAGTGATCTTCTCAACTCAGCTTCCCAAAGTGCTAGGATTACAGGTATGAGCTACCACACCCAGCCACCAATTTTTTTCTAAGAAAATAATTTTCTAATTTTGATACAATTCACATAACATAAAATACTCCCATTTAACGTGTACGATTCACTGGTTTGCAGTATATTCACAAAGTTGTGTAAGCATCACCACTAGCTAGTTCTAGAACATTCCATTACCCTAAAGAGGAAATCCTGTACTCACTAGCTATTACTCTCCACACCTAGCCCAGGCAATGATGAATCAATCTGCTTTCTGTCTCTGTGGATTTGTTGGCTTCTATGCTCCCTTCTGTCACTCAGCATGTGTCTTCAAAGCTTGTCCACATTGTGGCGTGAGTCACCATCTGCTTTCTGTCTCTGTGGACCTGTGGCCTTCTGTGCTCCCTTTTGTCACTCAGTATGTCTTCAAAGTTTGTCCACATTGTGGCGTGAGCCAGTGCTTCATTCCCTTTATGGCCAAGCAGCATTCCACGGCATGGACAGGCCACACGTGTTCATCCGTTCCTCAGTGGTTGGGTACCTGGGTTGTTTCTTCTTTTTGGTTACTGCATGTCATGCTGCTGTGAACATTCACGCACAAGCTTTCACATAAATGCACGTGTCCATTTCTCTTGGATGCATACCTGGAGTTGAACTGCTGGGTCATACAGTGAATAGCCAGCAGCTTCTGAGGAACTATCTTCTGAAGCAGCTGCACCGTTTTACCCTCTCACCAGCAGTGAATGAGGGCTCCAACATCTCCATATCCTTGCCAACACAACAAACTTCATTTTGTTTTTAAAATAACTTATTGTTATTGGAGGGATCATAAACTGATGAATTTCAATTTCATAAAAACTGCAGGTAGGCAGAAACATTTAAGTCCAAATTTCTCACACCAAAGAAGCAGCAGGAGACATGATCTAGAAAACGATAAGAATCAGCCACTTCCTCTGTATCGTCTTACCTCGCTCTACAGAATAAAAATACTTCTGAAATGAGTTATTGATAATGCCTGATTAAGCCGCAAAAATGCTGCCTTATCTAGCTTCTGCTTTCTTTTTTTTTTTTAAGAGACAGTCTCACTGTTGCCCAGCCTGGAGAACAGTGGCACGATCATGGCGCAACTGCAGCCTCAACCTCCCAGGCTCAAGTGATCTGCCCCCCTCAGCACCCACCCCCTACTCCCCATGTAGCTGGGACTACACGTGCGTGCCACCAGGCCCTGTTAATTTTTCATTTTTTGTGGAGACAAGGTCTCACTATCTTACCCAGGCTGGTCTCAAACTGATCTCTTGACTGTAGAAACCTTCTACATGGTCTCACTCACTGAAACCCAAACTCAGTACTTAGTCTAACTTTGGGGGCACCACCTTCCAATTCTGACCAACCCATGTGATGTGCAGGGAGACAGGATCCTGTCTGTGTTCATCCAGGCATCTCTCAGTGAAGGGAATGAAGAGTTCCAGTAACGATCTTTCTTCATCTGTTTTGTGCTTCTGTTGTTAAATTCTGAAACTAGCTCAGCAGTGAGTCCCGAGCTCCTGGTCCAGAGTCTCCCTGCCGTGGTGGATGCTGCAGCCTCCTGCTGTCGGAACCAAAGGCCAATGCCCACTGGCTGGCCAAGCTTCTGAGTCACACTGCCACCCAGAGACCAGAGCACTGCACTGTGATGGGTGCTGATTCAAAATGACTGCAAATGTGTACACATACATGTGTACAGATTTTTCTCCATCACTTTCATACAGAAATTTGCGACACTGATGTCATTAATTCCCACACTACTATAAAAAAGAGGTCTGCTGAAATTTAAAATTTCTGAAATATCGACACTGCAAATACTAAAGCTTTCAAAAAATTGTAAGTTTGCTTTCCAAAATCTACTGCACATTTCTCTGCATTCTTAGCAGTGTCTGTGACAATCTACGGCTCTAAGTCTACTGCCCACACAGGCTCCCCCCAGTGGGGGCCCCTCACATGCACGTGTGACCTGGGCGAGTCAACTGTTTTTGCTTGGCAAAACCACGCAAGCACACACCCATAGGAGCGAGCCTGACCCGGGGTTCCCACGAGCCCCACATCATCAGGTCATCTCTTGCACAGGGGCGTTCTCGGCTGCTCTAAGAGCACAGCCTGCCTCTGAATGATGGGACTCGGCCACACCTCAAGGGTGTGTCCTGTCTGTCCCCGATGCTCGATGGGCTCACGTGCCTCTAAGGAGGTTGCGAACAGCTCTCTGCCCCTCAAAGACCCCCTTTCCTTCTGGCTTCACAGCTGTGTTCTGGATCCAGGAGAAGGAAGTCTGGCCTCTGGAGTAGGGGACTTTAAGGTACTGAAGAGAGTGAATATAGCGTATTTTGTACCTTTAACCTGGCCTCTGAATGGTATGGAATTGGATATTGGTGGAAGAAGAGTGGATAATGGTGTCACAACATCTGGAAAAGAAGTACAGGAAGCTCTTGTGAGCTTTAGACGGCACACACAGGCTGGCAGTGACAAAGTCATCTATGGGCTTACAGCAAAATTGAGAGAGAGAAAAACATCTTCCCACCTCTCCAAGGGGAACGCTCAATTACAAGAAATACACCAAAACTACTGCTGCACATCAAAGATACCCTTACAAGCTGGAAATTCTCATTTCCATTTCCGAATCCCCCAAGACATTAAGCAGCGAAACAAAAAGCCCTAACATCATCAGGCTAAAGAGTTCCGCCACATTTTAAAATGGGTTAGCCCAGATTTTTCTGACAAGATTTTCTTACACTGCCCCCTGCTGCAGCTCCTGAACTCACACCATTACTTCTACAGGAGACAGCCCTGCTGCCTTCAGCGGCCATCTCTGGCCATTTCGAAATCCATTCCACACGAACAAACGCTTCGGACACATCTTACAGGAAAAGGGGCCATCTCTACAGAGGTGAGGAAAATGCTAATTCTGGTGTCTAGAACATTCGGCCTTATGAAAAGGACCACTTTGAAAAATGACTGATGCCATCTGCATTGTAGTTATGGGTCTGCTGCGATCGGAAGGGTCTGGGGCCACCAGTGTGAGAATGAGAATGACCAGGCTGCTCCCACCAAGGCAGTCATTAAAGTGATGAAAGCACCAATACAAGGGCCTATTGTTTACCATCAATATTGCCACTGCCACCACTACCACCACCTAGCCAGTCTTGCCCAGAGAACTGCCTTGAGCAGCGCAGGGCCTGCCAAGGTGAGCCAGCACCACAGCCCCAGAAGCTGGGGCCCCAGCTGACTGCGAGAAGGCCCCACACGCAGACAGTTACCTTTCATGAAGAACCGGCAGGTGGGACGAGGTCTCACCTTCCTGTCACTGGGGTCCTTCACTTCACCTTCTTCCAGGTCATCATCCTGAAACAGAGAACATCGTCTGAACGTGGGGGAGGGATCTATCAATCAGCACTGCTTTCTCCAAACCAGAAGGGGCAGGAAGCCTGGTATGGGACCTGGATATTGTGACAGGAATTGAATTCACGTCAATTTTCCAAACCTTAGGTCCCAGATCTGCACAGCAGGGAAGATCAGAGCGCGCCCGGCAGCTCCAAGCGTCCCGCCGCAACACCAGGGAGGAGTGCCGTGCAGCACACGGGCACTCTACAGAGCTCGCTCTCATGACGTTTCTCTTAACTATCAACTCTGGGCAGGAAATAGTAACACCTCAGGGTTTTAAAACTGTTAACATTTAAATGAAATTTGGAGAACAAAATATCTTATGTCCCTTAAACACAAACTTCCTCTTACAATTCTTGGGGAGGGGAGGAGTTGGGTGCCTCGGGGCAGTGATGCCAGCAGCCAAGAGGGGCCCACCTGGAGGCTCATCCTCAGCCAGCTCCTCACCCTGGCTGTCAAGTCTTAGAACAACCCAGGAGCTCTAAGCTGGGCCTCACCCGCAGGGACTCGGATGCACAGCCAAACCTGACCCTTGCTTGGTGCACTCCCCAAGCCACCTACTGTCCCAGGGCCTGTTCCCACGGACGTGCAGTTGAGACCCCTCCTGACACCACCCCAGCCCACGTGGGCACCAGCTGCCCACCTGACGTCCCTGACACAGGACCATTCAGGATGGAAGTACTCATCACCCTGACCCGGGCCTCTTTCAGCCAGCCCTAGCGTAACCCATCTCCCTGGTCCCATGTGGCCCCCCTTGATCCCCTCCCCGTCTCCTGCACTCTGCACCCCTGCCCATCACACCCAGCCTGGTAAAAACTACTTTCTAACAGGCTTCTCTCATTCCCTCCTCAACTCCTCCGGTCTCGCTTCACAGTGCGAAGCGCCCTTTCCCAATTCCAGGTCTGACCGTGTTCTTCCCTCTCCTCTTCCTGATTATTTAACTCACTTTCAGACGGAAGCTTGAGCCCCCTTCCTTGGGGTGGTCTTCCCTGAGCTCCCCCCATGACAGGTCCTCGCAGCCCCAGGCCCTGCAGGTGTTGCAGCCACAACTGAGCATCCTTTTGTTAACGACACCACCACTCGCCTGGCCGAACCCTGTGCCCCACTAGGGCAGGCCCATGTCTGACAGGGCAGGCCCACCACCAAGTTGCTGGGTCCAGGCAGCATCTGGCTCGCAATAAATAGTCCATAATTATCTGCTGAATGAAAAAATGCTGAAACCAAGCCCTGGATTTATGATAACCCAAACTTTTACAGCTGAAACATTTGTAACATTTTTTGGCTCAAAGATACTTGGTTATTAAAAGGTATTTTATAAGGAAAAGAACAGATTCCTGAGGGTTATATCCCTTAAGTGATCCAGCAGAATCACTTTTTAAAGAAATGATCAAATATAACCAATTAAAAAAAAGAAATGATCAGAGAAGGCATGTTTAATTTATGCCAAGTGACAGGATGACTCTCTTCTGTGGTCTTTTAGTTTGTGTCTTTTTTGTTTTTTTTGAGACGGAGTCTCACTCTGTCGCCCAGGCTGGAGTGCGGTGGCGCGATCTCGGCTCACTGCAAGCTCCGCCTCCCGGGTTCACACCATTCTCCTGCCTCAGCCTCCCAAGTAGCTGGGACTATAGGCACCCGCCACCTCGCCCGGCTAGTTTTTCGTATTTTTTAGTAGATATGGGGTTTCACCGTGTTAGCCAGGATGGTCTCCATCTCCTGACCTCGTGATCCACCCGCCTCGGCCTCCCAAAGTGCTGGGATTACAGGCGTGAGCCACTGAGCCCGGCCTGTGTCTTCTTTTTACTACTATTCTTACAGTAATGAGCACTGCCCTAAAATCTTAACATGGTATTCTACGTAAGATCAAATCTAGGTTGAGAACACATTCTTTGTTCCCATGAGAAAAACAAAACTCGTTTGGAAAGTTCTAATCCATTCCAATCTTCCTGCCTCACTTGGGAGTGAGTGTGCAGGAGTGGAGGTGGTGAGAAGGGCTTTTCTGCATCAGGATGAACAGCAAACAAACTAGACCAGACGGAGCACTGTTTCTGCAAAGATGTAACCATTAACATTCACAGAAGCAAAAAAGGCGAACGATGTAACCACCTTAAGATTGGAGGAAGGGCCCTGTAGCTACTACAAGTGATCAGGAAACAGACTACAGTTGCATAGTGAAGGCACAAGACATCATTTCAACCCAAGGAACACAACTAGCGTCTACACATTGACCCCAGTCATCCAGCCTCTACATCTGCAAGGACCAGGGGTTGTACATACTGGTGTGCTGGGCTTATGGCCCCTCTTTTAGTTAAACAAACAAACAAAAATAATCCATCAATCACTCAGCAATATAATATTGTGAATTTTCAAGTAATCACCATTAACACAATGGTCTTTTAAATAATGGATGATTACCATGCCCTTTTTTTTTTTTTTTTTTTTGAGACAGAGTCCTGCTCTGTCGCCCAGGCTAGAGTGCAGTGCAGTAACACGATCTTGGCTCACTGCAACCTCTACCTCCCAGGTTCAAGCGATTCTCCTGCCTCAGCCTCCTGAGTAGCTGGGATTACAGGTGCCTGATATCACACCTGGCTATTTTTGTTATTTTTAGTAGAGACGGGGTTTTGCCACGTTGGCCAGGCTGGTCTTGGACTCCTGACCTCAGGTGATCTGCCCACCTTGGCCTCCCAAAGTGCTGGGATTAAAAGTGTCAGCCACCACATCTGGCCTCCGTGCTCAATTTTTACTCTTATTCTACATGTGTAAATAACAAAATACTCAACCTCCCAAAATAAATAAAGAAATCACTAAATAATGGATAATTAAAACAAGTTATAAGTATTATGCAAAGAAAACTCAAGACAGGGACCCAGAGTTGAAGTTATCTGAGACTGTCATCCTGGGTGTGTGGTATGCAGGAACTCCCGGCCTCCTGGTTTCCCTCATGCTGATGGCCTTCTGCTCATGAGACCCGAGCCACAGAGAGTGGGAAGCAGAGGACAAGGGGGGCCTGAGTGGACCAGCCAGCTGCAAACTGGCTTAAAAATGGATGGTGCCCGTGGGGCTCTCAGCACATACCACCTGGGACAGGCCAAGTTGACGTGGATGCTGAGGGTGAGACTAAGGAGGCACACAGGCCTCAGTGTACCCATCTGAGGTTGGGTTTCCATACTGGCACACTCCTGCTGGTGCTTCCTCACCGCAGGGGAAATACACATGTGGATAAAGGACACCAGGCTGAGTGCATCATCTACTCCAATTTTAAAAGCCTTTATAAAATTTACATGCAGTGGGGGAGAAGGCCCAGATTCAAATCCTAGGTCCAGGCTGTCGTGACTGTGAGTGTGGACAGGTCACCCGATCTGCAAAGCTCGCATTCCCCTCCACACAACGGGGCAGGTGCCCCAGAGCAGGCTGCTGTGGGCTGAAGGAAAATGCTGCACTGAGAGGCCACGCGCACCGTGCTGAAAGCATGAGCAGCAAGCGCTCTGCAAGTGCGCATGAGTCCTCTATTTCAAAGGAAACACCTCACTGGTAATGTGCTCAACAGGATTAACTCGGAGCAATGACACCGGTGATTTTTGTTTTCTTCTTTGTGCAGCCTTTTCTTTTCCTTTCTTAGATAGAAAGAAAAGAACCCTGTGAACATGTATTACTTACACAACAAGAAAACAGTTATTTCACACTGAAGCTTCTGTACAAAGGCAGAAAAGGAAAGGGGGCCACTGCGTGCAGCTGCTGTGCCAGAGGAAGCCGAGCAGCAGGCCCCGGGCACAACCTGGCACAGCCACTCAGGCCAACTATAACCTCCTGAATCCTGGGCGTCTTGTCTATAGGATGGGGGTGAAAACACAAGTCTATCATTCCTGATCTGAAACCTGTCGGGTCAGGTGTCTTCTGAGAATTCAGAAATACTCTATATTTCTGGGTCTAAAACAGTAGCCTGGGAGGTACACAGCAATTCTGGACAGAAGTCTCGGGGCCCCTCCCACAACAGGGGAGGCACAAAGCTATGAGCAGCCTCACGTCAGCTTGGGCCAGGTCTGCTACCAGGTGAGGAAAAGGTTTCAGTTCTCAGAGCTTCTGAGGCCTCAGCGCTGTAAGAACAGTGGCCTGCGCGTTTTCACGTTTCTATGCGGAACACTAACCACGCTAAGAGGCACAGAAGGCCTCTGAGCCTATTACTGATGCTATGGGGCCCTTTTCCCAAGTGTGGTACAGGCCGCTGCTTCCTGGGCTTTGGCAATAGAATGGGTGCGCTTGGCACCTTATCAGTGACACAGAAGAGAACCCCACTTGGAGAGGAAACCCACAGCCACGAGGCTCGCTGGAGAAGCTCTTCTGCAGAAGAGCTCATGGATCCAGACATAAAAGGCAGGTGGATCACAAGGTCAGGAGGTCAAGACCAGCCTGGCCAAGACAGTGAAACCCTGTCTCTACTAAAAATACAAAAATCAGCCGGGTGCGGTGGCAGGGTGGCAGGTGCCTGTGATCCCAGCTACCTGGGAGGCTGAGGCAGGTGAATTGCTTGAACCCGGGAGGCGGAGGTTGCAGTGAGCCAATATTGCACCACTGCACTCTAGCCTGGGCAACAGAGCAAGATTCTGTCTGGGGAAAAAAAAAAAAAAAAAGGAAAGCTGGATTATTTGAACAGGATAAAATACTAAAGACCATGAGCAAAGAAAATGCTCCAAAAGGTGGACTGAGAGCTACCAATGGTGACAGGAGTCATGTGGCCCACCCACTCAGGACGCAGTCCACTGTGCTGCTGGCTGGCTGGGAGGCCACTCTACAAATGTAGGGGGTCCTCAATAAGAGGAGAATGGAATAAAATGGGCACCCTACCCTTTCCAAGGGCCAGTGTGCTCCAGGTGATGGAAAGTCTGCTAACCAAATGATAAGTCAGATATAAACATAGAGCACGGAGTGAGCACAAGAGTGGGTGGACAGACCCAGGCCAGGCCTCTAAACTGTAATGGCAAATCAGAGCCCCCCAGGCTGGAAGGAGCTTGTCATCTCCCAGCAGGAAAGCTGGTTCTGGGGAGGGACCAGACGTGTAGGAGAAAGAAAAGAGAGGCTGCCACATGGCATGAGTGGGTCAGGGTGGGCTCCACACACTCTTCAGGGGGATGGCAGGAGCAGAAACACAAGGCCTTCTGCACCCGGCTGTCTTCCATGCCGCTTCCTGAACAGGTAAGAGATCAGTGACTGAAGGTAAGCTGGCGTCAGGAACACCCTCACCCACACCACAAATGAGCCAGGCGCTGCAAAGCAGCTGGTCCTGGAAACTTTCCTCCACACCACGTGGGCCAGTGGCACTTCTAGAAGATACCTGTATCTGAGGGCGTTCTGGCAGCACACCACACACAGATTCAAGGCCTTAGGCACAAGCTATGTGGTTTAGACAATGAATTTCAAGGGCTTATTGTACAAATTGATGTCCCAATCAAGGAAAGTGTACCCCAGAATCAGTTCACCTGTACCAGTGACCCAAAACCTAAAAGGGACATGTGCCAAAAGAGAAAGCGCTTCTGAAAAAGAATGACAAATCAGGCCAGGGCAGTGGCTTGGCACTTTGGGAGGCCCAGGTGGGCGGATCACTCGAGGTCAAGAGTTCAAGACCAGCCTGGGCAACATAGTGAGATCCCACCTCTATTTTTTAAATTAAAAGCAATAAAAATGAAATTACAAAATTAAGAAAAAAAGAGAATGCTAAATCAAATGGCTCTCTAGACTTTGCCACTCAGTTGTTCCTGGCATCCAGTAAACCAGGGTGCCAAGGGGCAGGCCACGAGAGCCTCTGGGCGGAGCAGCCCCTCTCCCAACTGGGCCGGTAAGATCCTGCTGGGATGTGGAATGCTATAAGGCCTCCGAAACATCCATTTGCGAAGGTACAGGCCAAAGAGCACACCTCTTCCACAGAGAAACATCCGGGTAGTTGACCTGACACCAGGGCTCTGCTTGAAGGGAACGAGAAAAAAGGCCTTCTAGAAAGGACACTTTCCAACACACGCAGAGGCTGCTTTCCAGGGACTGAAAGGAAAGGGGACTTAGCCAAAGGCCTGGTGGGAAGCCGACTGCTCATGGACCCAGCGCACCCCAGGGCTCCCAGTCCATCAGAGAAACACAGCCAGAGACAGGGAAGGGAACAGGGTGCGGTGCAGGAATGCAGCAGGGCCTCCGAGAAAGAGAGGCAGGCACAGGAGGTGTGCTTGGTGGAGATGCAACAGAGATACAAGAGTGGACGACAGGCTTGGAACTGGGCCCAAGAGGAGGAAAAAGCTGGAAGGAGCCGGTCTGGCAGCCCTTCATGCACAGGATGGCGTGGCGCGTACCTCTGCTGGGTCCTTCCCGCAGGGTAGAGGGCTGATGCTGCTCACGTGAACTCCCCTCCACCTGTGACGGGCTCCTGAGTGTGACTTTCCACTCACTGCTGCTTCACGTTACAAAGGCTCTCACCTTCAGTGTGCCCCGGGCAAGTGGGATTCCTCCACTGACTAGCTGCTCACCATGTGCCAGGCCCCAGGGAGATAGGGGAACTAGCCAGGTAGCCCCCAGTCTTAGGAAACATGTTCTTGGGAGTAGGGGAAGCAGCAGACAGACACACAGACACACAGACAGACACACAGACAGATACACACACACACACACACACACACACACACACAGATGAACCTGTGCCACGACGGACAGGCAGGGGCAACAGAGAAAGAGCCTACTCAAACACTGAGGCTGACACATAAAGGATGGAGGAGCCTGAGACACCACTGGGTGTGGGAACAAGAGGAGGCTACGGGAGCCCCTGGGGCAAGCAACCCAGGGGCCTGAAGTCAAATGTGCTCTCACGGGGGCTGAACGCAGCATTCACAGCACTGCCCGTGTTGGGTAGAGGCCTGCTGCCCCCACAACAGGAGCGCACTCTGCTCTGCCCAGTCACACTCAGCATGTGGTACAGCAAGGTCCACCTGTGCTGGTGTCCAGGAGCACAGACCTGTGGGGAATGTGGGGCACTGGAGGCCGTCTGTGCTGTGGGAGGGAACCTGCCTCCCCGGTTGCTGAGGGAGCCGTGCTGGGGTTTCCGCAGCAGCACCCCGTTTTCAACTGTGGGTCCCCTCACAAGATGCTGCCAAGCAGGGCAGGCAGGGTCTAGGTGGGCAAAAATGGCAAACAGCGTTTTCTTCAGGCAGGGTCTAGGTGGGCAAAAATGGCAAACAGCGTTTTCTTCCATGTGCTGTGTCTAGGGAAAACCAGCACATCCAGGCCTTTGGCAGCCAGGGCCCTTCTCTAGGCCAGCTGGGCTCAGCTCATCTACCGCACCGTCCGCACACATGGTGCACCACTGAGAACTCACAGTATGCCCCGCAGACATGGCGTTTCAGGACCACTATGGGGACCCTTGACCTGTCTGATGAATCTCCCCCAAGACTTAAGGGTCCACAGCCAGTCCTCTTAAGAGGAATTGGAGCATGCCAGAGCCCTGGGTGCAGGGCCTGCTGCACTCCCAGTGGTGGTGTGCAGACAGGGCTATTATCCCAGGACACCAAAAACTCAAACTCATGGGCATCCTCAACCCAACCAGTTCACCCAAATTGATGAACTTGAATCTCACTGTGTCTCCTTTCCCTCTGCCAGCCCTGGGGTAACTCTCCTCTTGCAAAAAAAAAAAAAAAAAAAAAAAAAAAAAAAGCACTAGCTGAGTAGACCACCTCCTACGTTTAGTTGTGAAAAAATGAAACATCTAAAACTCTAAGCTTGTAGGCACACACACGTCCCATAAAGTTAGATAAGCAATACTTTAAACCCTATAAATTACTGAGCACTGTCATAGCTATCAGCTATGGCCAAAAAGTCACATCCAAACGTGGACTGAGAGCACACACACCAACATGCTACTGGAGAAGCATGGCACTTGCCGGGCGTGGTACCTCACACCTGTGATCCCAGCACTGTGGGAGGCTGGGACGGCCGGTCAGGAGTTTGAAACAAGCCTAGCCAACATGGCGACACCCCATCTCTACCAAAAATACAAAAATTAGCCAGTGGTGGCAGATGCCTGCAATCCCAGCTACTAAGCAGAGTGAGGCAGGAGAATTGCCTGAACCTCAGGGGCAGAGGCTGTATACTGAGCTGAGATGGCGTCACTGCACTCCAGCCTGGGTTAGAGTAGACTCTGTCTCCAAAAAAAAAAAAAAAAAAAAAAAGGAGCATTGCACTCAAGGCAAACTGGTGGTTACACATCTAACTGGCAACCTTTACCTGCCTCAACCCAGACCATGAGATCAGACAAATACTCTCTGCAGACACCTTTTCACTGTAATGACTCCCAATAAGCAGAACCGCCCTCCCTGGGATCCTTCAAAAACAAAAACGCCACCACCACCACCACAACCCAATTCAGTTCAACTGCTCTGCCCCTTGCTCAGCTCCTTTGAGTTCAATAGCTCTGGAAAGTATCACTCAGGAGGACTTTGGGCTGTTTCTCTGGAAACACTCATAATTTTTCCAATGGCATCAACTGCCAAGAAAACCCCACCTACCCAGATCTAGGATCACAGATAGTACTACCTTCCCCTCAACCTGAAGGCCACATTAATTTAATGTACAAAAAAGTGTGCTGACTTTGTCAGAAGTTGAGGTGCCCACCACGGTCTTTTCAGGGATCCCTCCAAAGAGGCCTGGCCCAGCTGGTGCCCTCTCCAGAGGTCAGGCCCTAGGGCCAGCATAAGAATGCCTAGAAGAACATCCACAACCAGATGGAAACTTTCCTCATTCTTTTCAGTCCAAAAACCTGACAAGAGTGGAAACCCACGCAGTTTCTGGTTGAGTGCTAACTCGAGTATCACTTGAAGACGGCAAAGACAAGGGAAGACATTACCCCTTCACTCCTAGAACCTAAAAAAACTGGGTGCTAGGTCTTTTACTACAACCCAAACAATCCCACCAGCTGGTCGGCCGAGGGCCATGGAAACCCTGCTGGCAGCTTCTGGAGCTGCCTATTCTCATTCTTGATTTCCAATTCTTTCTCGATTTTCATTCTTCCTTTCCAATCACTATGCGACTGACACAAAACAAGTCTCTCATTCTCCTGCACCATCCCTAGTAACAAAATCACTAAATCAGTCCCACACAGAGTCCCTCCTTCCCGGCACCGGCCTGTGTCAGGAGCTGGGGAGGACGCCCTGCGACGCTCTGCCCCATCATACTCACGTCTATTTCCCCGTCATCGATCTCTCCATCATCGTCCTCTTTCTTTTTCTCCTTGGCAGCCTCTGGGGATTCCTTTTCTCCCACACTCTGAACACCAGCCTTCCCCTCCTCCCCGGGAGCGCCTTCGCCCTTCTCCTCCTCATCCTCAGCCCCCGCTTTCTCGGCCTCGTCCTCCTGGACGGCGGGAGTCGGCTCCTCGGGGACCTCCTCGTCGTAGTCTAGCTCATGCTCGTCCAGCTCCCTGGTGACTGAGGAGGCCTCGTCCCTAAGGTCGCTTGTCCTGTCTTCCTCCCCGTCGTCCCCTTCCTCCTCGCAGTGGGGGCTGGTCGGGCCCCGGCTCAGCTCATTCACCTCTGAGTCCTGCTCTTGGGATTTAGGCTCACTTGCCCGGTCCTCGTCGGAGTGGTTATCTTCCTCCTCCTGGCTCAGCCCCCTGGCTGCACTCTCCTCATCCTCCAGATCAGAAGCCCTCACCCCCGCCCCGTCCAAATCCTGATCGGACCCGCTGTCCCTCAGAATGTCATCGTCCGAGAGCCCCTGTGGCTGCTCTTCATCCTCTGGAGAGCGAGGATCCCGTTCAGGGCTCTCGGCCACATCCATCGGTACCCACGGTTCTGCAAAAGAGAGAATACAGATTGGCAGCCTTTAGCAAAATGGAAAACAAACCTTGTCCCCACTTTCCTGGCCTGAAGAAGCAGGACTTCCACCTTGCTTGGCCCCACATGGCTCTGCCCCAAATCCCACACTCCACTCTGCAGAGAAAGACAAGCCATAACTCCACTCCACAAGGCTAGACTCCGCTCAGCTAACCTGGGCGTTAAGTGCCTCCCGTTTTTAGCAATTGGGCAAAACGAGATGTGGCAGAATAAGACACAGCCTGGCCTAGTCCTTCCCCATTCAAGGGCAGTCCACACAAGTTAACAGAAAGTGAGCAACAAGATACGGACTGCAAAGGACAGCTGTTTGAATTCTTAAGAGTATTAACTTTTGAAATTCAAGATAAACTGTATCATACAACGAGGCAGCAAAACTGCAGGCCCAGGTCTCACCATTTTTCTGGAGTCATCCTGAAGCAGGAACCTGGGCCACCCTTTGGCAGTTTCCAAGTCTGGAGCCTTTTCTGTTACTGAACACAATTCTCAAAGGCCAGCCTCTGATGCACTCCCAGAATCCCTTGGCTGCCCTTAGCAATGCAGGCTCAGAGCCCTGCCTGTGTGTTCACTGGCAACCTCCAGCACGTGTTGAGAGGGCCGTGTTCACCTGCTCAGCAACTCACACACCTAAGGTGAGAACCCCTCTTCCCATACGGGTAGCTGTTGTAGAAATGAACTCTGCCAGGAAACGACACATTTACGTACTGTGTATATGCAAAAGACGAGGCTGGTCAGGTATGGTGGCTCGCATCTATAATCCCAGCACTTTGGGAGGTTGCAACGGGAAGATCATGTGAGCCCAGGAGTTCGAGACCAGCCTGGGCAACATGGTGAGACCCTGTCTCTATAAAAAAGAATGCTAAAATTCACAGGGTGTGGTGGCACGTGCCTGTATTTCCAGTTACTTGGGAGTCTGACGCAGGAGGATCGCTTAAGCCCAGGAGGTGGAGGCTGCAGTGAGCTAAGACTGAGCCACTGCGCTTCAGCCTGGGCAGCAGAGTGAGACCAATCTCCAAAAAAACTCAAAAAACAAGAAAAAAGGGCTGGGCACGGTGGCTCATGCCTGTAATTCCAGCACTTTGGGAGGCCGAGACAGGTGGATCACGAGGTCAGGAGATCGAGACCATCCTGGCTAACATGGTGAAACCCCGTCTCTACTAAAAATACAAAAAAATTAGCCAGGTGTGGTGGCAGGCGCCTGTAGTCCCAGCTACTTAGGAGGCTGAGGCAGGAGAATGGCGTGAACCCGGGAGGTGGAGCTTGCAGTGAGCCGAGATCGTGCCACTGCACTCTAGCCTGGGCAACAGAGTGAGACTCTGTACCAAAAAAAAAAAAAAAAAAAAAGACGGGGTAATTTCAGATTTCATTCCTATTTTTACTAATCCAGATTTAATTACAAAGTGAATATTTTCTAGTTTCCCACCTTAAAAACTCGTAGAAAGTACACTGCTACCAATGCTTAGAAGTGGACGGTGTAAGACGGGCTGGAAGGTGTTGAACAGCAACACTAACCTGGCAAACACCTGCCACACCACCACCCCCAGGGCAGCCGGTCACCACCAAGTGAGTGTGGAGCGGCAGAGACAGTGCCAGGTCAGTGGCCACCCGACTCTTCAGTCTGTGAGGCTGTTAAAATAACGCATGTCACAGTCACACTGCTTGTCATCTCAGTAAGGTCTGGAAACAGATTACTCATCTCAAGATAACCATGGAGGCAGCAAGTCATACACATACACATTTATATGTCTTGAGTCTCAAAGAACCATATACACTAAAGATAAAAATATGCATCTTTTAAATTTTATACTTTTAATACGACAACGTGTTTAAAGATGCACAGTATCAAGAGTTGGTATCTAAACCCACAGTTAAACTTTTTTTTTTTTTTTTTTTTTTGCTGTTAGTGGAAATCATTAAGATTAAGTACACATTAGATGCTGGGCGCGGTGGCTCATGCCTATAATTCCAGCACTTTGCGGGGCTGATGTGGGCAGATCATGAGGTCAGGAGACTGAGACCATCCTGGCTAACACAGTGAAACCCCGTCTCTACTAAAAATACAAAAACAAAATTAGCCAGGCATGGTGGTGGGTGCCTGTAGTCCCAGCTACTTGGGAGGTTGAGGCGGGAGAATGGCATGAACCCAGGAGGTGAAGCTTGCAGTGAGCTGAGATTGTGCCACTGAACTCCAGCCTGGGTGACAGAGCGAGATTCTGCCAAAAAAAAAAAAAAAGAGAGAGAGAGACACATTGGAACAAATTGGCCAGGTGCGGTAGCTCATGCCTGTAATCCCAGCACTTTGGGAAGCTGAGGTGGGCGGATTACTTGAGTCCAGGAGTTCTAGACCAGCTTGGGCAACATAACAAAACCCGGTTTCTACAAAAAATACAAAAATTAGCTGGGCGTGGTAGGGCACCTGTCATCCCAGCTACTTAGAAGGCTGAGGAGGGAGGATCACTTGAGCCTAGGAGGTTGAGGCTGCACTTCAGCCTGGGTGACACAAGACCCTGTCTCAAACAAAAACCAAAATGCCAAAAAAACCCCAAATCTGGCCAGGTGTGGTGGCTCATGCCTGTAATACTAGCACTTTGGGAGGTCAAGGCAGGTGGATCACCTGAGGTCAGGAGTTCAAGACCAGCCTGGCCAACATGGTGAAACCCGGTCTCCACTAAAATACAAAAATTAGCCAGTTATGACGGTAGGTGCCTGTAATTCAAGCTACTTGGGAGGCTGAGACGGCAGAATCGCCTGAACTTGGGAGACAGTGGTTGCAGTGAGCCGAGATCACACCACTGCACTCCAGCCTAGGTAGTGCTAAGCGAGACTCCATCTCAAAAGAAAACCTAAATCATTCATCACTTCATAAAAACTAAATGGGCCAGGGGTGGTGGCTCATGGCTGTAATTCCAGCACTTTGGAAGGCTGAGGCGGGTGGATCACCTGAGGTCAGGAGTTCAGGACAAGCCTGGTAAACATGGTGAAACCTTGTCTCTACTAAAAATACAAAACAACAGCTGGGCATGGTGGTGGGCACCTGTAATTCCAGCTACTCGGGAGGTTGAGGCAGAATTGCTTGAATTCCGGGGGCGGAGGCTGCAGTGAGCCGAGACCACACCACTGCACTCCAGCCTGGGCGACAGAGCGAGACTTCATCTCAAAAAAAACACTAAATGATTAGCAATAACATAGATTTACAAACCAATCAATCCATTCTAAGTCACTTGAAAGCAGACAGTTCTGAAAATGATTCGCTTTTCGGTTTTCTAACTACACTATCCAGTTACTATACAGAGGCAGGACTGCTGGGAGGAATTATTAAAAAGTCAGTCCTGCGGCCGGGCGCGGTGGCTCAAGCCTGTAATCCCAGCACTTTGGGAGGCCGAGACGGGTGGATCACGAGGTCAGGAGATTGAGACCATCTTGGCTAACATGGTGAAACCCCGTCTCTACTAAGAAATACAAAAAACTAGCCGGGCGAGGTGGCGGGCGCCTGTAGTCCCAGCTACTCGGGAGGCTGAGGCCGAAGAATGGCGTGAACCCGGGAGGCGGAGCTTGCAGTGAGCTGAAATCTGGCCACTGCACTCCAGCCTGGGCTACAGAGCGAGACTCCGTCTCAAAAAAATAAATAAATAAATAAAATAAAATAAAATAAATAAATAAATAAATAAAAAGTCAGTCCTAAGCCAGGAGTGGTGGCAAGTGCCTGCAATCCCAGCTGCTTGGGTGGCTGAGGTGGGAGGATCAGTTGAACCCAAGAGTTCGAGTCCAGCCTGGATAACAGGGTGAGACCGTCTTTCTCTTAATCAAAGGTAGTCCTAAACTGGTACACACTGCCAAAAACGGAAAAGCCAAGGAGTCGCTCCCCAAACAGCATCACAGGGGCGCTTGCTGCACAGAGCATTTCTGCAGCCCAAGGCAACAAAGGCAAGGATGAAAAGCACCAGGGTCGCTAAGGCCTCTACGCTCTCACTGTTCAAGAATCAGAGTGCATGTGGGGTTGTAGCAGTAAGTCACCAGTGGCAAACTGGCAATTCTCTCTCTTGCCTAGCTAATGACATTAGTAACATCCTATACTATCTTTGTACAATTTTTTTTTTTTTTGAGACGGAGTCTCGCTCTGTCACCCAGGCTGGAGTGCAGTGGCACAATCTCAGCTCACTGCAAGTTCCACCTCCCGGGTTTACGCCATTCTCCTGCCTCTGCCACCCGAGTAGCTGGGACTACAGGCGCCCGCCACCTCGCCTGGCTAGTTTTTTATATTTTTTAGTAGAGACGGGCTTTCACCGTGTTAGCCAGGATGGTCTCGGCCTCCCAAAGTGCCGGGATTACAGGCTTGAGCCACCGCACCCAGTCTCTTTGTACAATTTTTATGACAATGTATAAACATCTTCCGCATAGAAGGGCAGGTAGTTTACATCTCCCCAGCTGCCAAAGTGGAGCACCTGGTACCCAGCAGGATGTCCCAAGCTGAACCCAGACCTGAAATGTGACAAATTCTGATTCTCATGTTTTATTGTCTAATGTCAACCTTGCAAACAAAGTGATCTCTTAAATAAACTGACTTTTATGCAAAACTAAACGTCCCCTCAAACTAGTTTTAAAAAATCACACAATTGGCTGGGTGTGATGGCTCATGCCTGCAATCCCAGCACTTTGGGAGGCTGAGGCGGGTGGATCACGAGGTCGGAAGTTCGAGACCAACTTGGCCAAAACACAGTGAAACTCCGTCTCTACTAAAAATACAAAAATTAGCTGGGCGTGGTGGCACGTGCCTGTAGTCCCAGCTACTCAGGAGGCTGAGGCAGGAGAATCACTCAAACCCAGGAGGAGGAGGTTACAGTGAGCCCAGATCGTGCCACTGCACTCCAGCCTGGGCAACAGAGTGAGACTCCGTCTCAAAAAATAATAGTAATAATAAAGACTAGGTGCTACCTCCCTTCCAAGCAGTCCCTCTGGGAGGATGCACAGACTCCAATGGCACTGCTGAAGTGCAGAGCATTTGGGGACCTTCTCATTTCGAATGACCTTCCAAGCCTGAAGAAGTCTTCTGGTGTTCTCCGTGGTGGCAAATCTTCCTCCTCTCAAGCTAGTCTCTGATAAGTGCTGCAAGTCAGAGTCTCACCTCATAAGGTAAGTTACCAACCACATAAGACAACTTTTGGTCAAACCTGGTGGATGACTACTGATAAAACTGATTTTCCCATATGACTACATTTTTTACTACCAAAACAGGAGTTCTAAAGAGGTTTTGGCAAAGAAGCACCAATGAAATACAAGCACAACATTTTGGGACAGTTACTTTCAACAGAGCAGTCCCTATTTGAATGCCTGAGTTCTGGAACATCTGGTTAAAATTCTGACTCATAACCTCACGGGCTTACAATATCTAAATGAAAGTTATCAAGGTTGGTGACAGAACCCACTCGCAAACTGACCAAGCTTGACCACTAAACTGCTTGATAAGGAGGTACTCACCTTGAGATGCTCTGTAGCCGTGACAAAATACAAATCTCTTGAAACACGATCTAGGACACAGGTTAACTTACCTGTTTGCTTTCTGGAGTGACTCCACAAAGCTTTCTTACAACATTTCAGCATGTCCCACCTAAAACGGGAGAGGAGTTTCCGGCTTTGGGACACATTTGACTGGTTCCAGGGCTGGCTGGGTTCCATACTGCCCTTAGATAGTAAAATTATCAGGCAAAGACTCTCCTCCCAAGGCTGGGAAATGGGATTCAGCCGAGGTCAAGGCTCACCAGGAGAATCTCAACAACTGAACGGGAAAGGACTACAGACAACAAGCTGGAAGTGAGTCTCACAGGAGAAATGACGAGCGCCTTGCTACACCCCAAACGGTACTGCAGATGCCACTCTCTTCTTCCATTTTCCCAAATGGGTCTGAAGAATGACCTACCCTTGCAAATGAGTTAGCGGAACAAAGCTCATTTAAAACGGCCACTCTAACCGGCAAACTCAACTGTCATAAAGTAGTCAGGAAAACTTAATTTTTGGCAGGAGCAAGGCTGTAAGTTTCGGTTCTTCCAGCATTATATCTCCAGTTAGTTTATATAAAGGACCCAGCACCTCTGATCTCCTGATCCAAGGGGCAAAAAGTTACATACTCCTAAGAGACCGGCGCGCGTCTTGGGGCAATCGCCACGTCCAACCTGTGCACACTCTGAAGCTGCGGCGCAAGTTCCAGGAGGCTCATGAAGAGCTCAAAGTTCTCCGAAGAGCCCAGAAACAGCAAGGGCTGACCTACTCCGGAGGTTAACCTGGGCGCCTCTCACCGCCCCTTAGCGGGCGGCACACATGTGCCACGCGAGTGGCCCGGAAGAGAAATGACAGCTTCAGGAAAATAAACTCCGCCGCGGGGCGCGGAGGCAGCGCGCGAGGAGCTCAGGCGCCGAGGGCGCCCCAGGACCGCGGGGCCGCTTACGGACGGAACGCGGGGTGGTGCCTGTCTCAAGGTCCCCATCCCTGGGCCCGAGGGCCAGTCTTCGGTCGGCGGGTCCGCACGGCCGGAGGCGCGTCAGGGTCCCGGGCCTCACTCCCGCCGCCGCCGCCGCCGCCGCCTCGGCGGCCTCCTCCTCCCGCCGCCGCCGGCCCGGCCTCCCGCCGCCCGCCCGGCCCCCGCTAACCTCAGCGCTAGGACGGATAGGGGGCCACGGCTCTGCTGGAGTCGGAGCGGCGTGGAGAAGACGTCCCTTGGCCCTTCGTTCCTCGCAGGCTCTGGCTCCAGGCTCGACGCGGGCGGAACAAACGGGCTCCACTACC